ATATGCACACACAATGTGGATACAAAAACATACAAATATGCACACACAAGTTGGATACAAAAACATACAAATATACACACACAATTGGATACAAAAACATACAAATATACACACACAGTTGGATACAAAAACATACAAACATACACACACAATTGGATACAAAAACATACAATCATACACACACAGTTGGATACACAACGGATGTCATGCAGCTGGATTGGCTTAAAGAACCAGAACCAGTTGAGGTGAACAAAAACTTGTACATACCTCAGTACTTTTATCGAGGAAGCCTTCTTTACGACTGTGCCTCTAACTACACAGCAGGTTTTTATTATTATTGTCAATACTATTTACTACTACTACTACTACTTTTACTACTACTACTACTGCTACTGCTGCTACTTCTACTACTGCTGCTACTTCTACTACTGCTGCAACTACAACAACTGCTACTTCTACTACTGCTGCTGCTACTACTACTACTACTACAACTACAACTACAACAACTGCTACTTCTACTACTACAACTACAACAACTGCTACTTCTACTACTGCTGCTATTACTACTACTGCTACTACTACTACTACTACTACTTTTACAACAACAACTACTACTTCTACTACTACTAATGTGTGTGTGTGTGTGTGTGTGTGTGTATGTGTGTGTGTATGTGTGTGTGTTTGTGTGTGTGTGTACGAATATATGTGTACCCATGTTTGTACATCGGCAGGTAGTTTCCCATGTCTAAAAATAAACTTCGTACTCCAAAGAAACGCTGGCTACTTTACGATTCAAGTTTTTTTTCCAACTTTCCTGATCGTTATTTTATCTTGGGTGTCTTTCTGGATCAGTGTGGATGCGGTCCCGGCCAGAGTTTCCTTGGGGCTGCTGACTGTCCTTACTATGACTAATTTGAGTATTGGTTGGTTTGATGTTGTTGTTGATGTTGTTGTTGTTGTATTGTTGTTGTTGTGTTGTTGCTGATGTTGTTGCTGTTGTATTGTTGTTCTTGTATTGTTGTTGATGTTGTTGCTGTGTTGTTGCTGATGTTGTTGTTGTTGTTGTATTGTTGATGATGTTGTTGTTGTGTTGTTGTTGACGTTACTGTTGATGTTGTGTTGTTGTTGATGTTGTTGTATTGCTGTTGATGTTGTGTTGCTGTTGTTGTATTGCTGTTGTTGATGATGTTAATGTTGTCAATGTTGTCATTATACTTAGTATAAGTTATAGCACTTTAGTAGAAGCAGTAGTAATAGTTATAGTAGTAGTAGTAGTAGTAGTAGTAGTAGTAGTAGCAGCAGCATCAGCAGCAGTGGTAGTAGTAATAGTATTTTCGAGGTTTATCAATAAACTCTATTACTAAATTCAAAATAACTAAAATTTCATTAAATTTTTCTCATCTTTCTATCGTTGTACCCCCCCCCAATAAAGGAATAAACTCTAACCTACCCCGGGTTTCATACATCAAGGCCATTGATATTTGGATGTCTGCCTGTCTTTTGTTCGTGTTCAGTGCCCTTTGTGAGTATGCCTTCGTTAACGTGGCCTCCAGACACAAGGTGATCACAAGGCACGCTCCGCTTGTGGTTAGTTGTGGCTCGGGAGGGATTTGGGTGGGGAGGTTTTGCTAGTTTTTTTTTTGATTGATTGGTTGGTTCGATTGTTGAATGGTTGTTTGTTGATTGGTTGATTGATAGGTTGGTTGATTGGCTGGTTGTTCGTTGATTGGTTGGTTGATAAGTTGGTTGATTGGTTGGTTGATTGGTTTTTTGAATGGTTGTTTGTTGATTGGTTGTTTGTTGTAGTTGCTTTTCATAGACGTCTTAGCCATAACCATTGGTTAATTGATTGGTTAATTGATTGGTTAATTGATTGGTTAATTGATTGGTTGGTTGGTTGAGGTTTCCATCAAGGCTGCTATCGTCAACCTAATGGTTTTCCTACCTGCAATTCTTTTGATGGTAGAGCCATTTTCAATACGATAAATGAATGAATGATTGAATGAATGAATTAATGAAGGAATTAATCAACTAATTAAATAAATCACGTGGCGTATATAGATGTATTTATACTAATTAATTAATTTTATTAAATATTTAATAATTATTTTTAACGGCAGACAACAGAGTCAAAATTCACAAGTTGCTTTAGACAAGTTCGCCAAGTAAGAATTTATAACAACTAATAACAAAACAATGATCAAAGATAATAAAAATATTAACAATTCTGAGCACACACACACATACCCACACACAGGCACACACGCATACATATAAACAAACACACACACACAAACATGCACTCACACACACACACACACACACACACACACACACACACACACACACACACTATTCACACACGCACTACAAAATCGCAGACCTTCACAATCCGCCGGGATCACACAGAAGAGGACATATCCCACTTACGAGGACTGGGACTCAGTCCCAACATAACTCTAGCGCCGTTTTTAAAAGGCGGGAAACATTTAGACGGAAAAGCAAGAGCTGAGAGGATCGATAACGCTTCGAGAAAATGCTTTCCGCTTGTGTTCGCCCTCTTTAACATTACCTACTGGATCGGCTACATATTCATTGTGAAGGACGACCAAGTTAACTAATACGCACACACACACACGTACATACACAACACTCACGTACGTACACACACACAATTATTAATTTACGATATTGTATATACAACTGTACATTGTGATTAAACGATTAGAAAAATTTCATATGAGAATAAAACACAGCAACACGTTTCAATTTGTAATTATTATTATTATTATTATTATTATTAATGTTATTATCATCACCATCGTCATCATCATAGTCCTCATCATTATTGCTATCATTGATTTCATTAACATTAAACCCGAAACAACAAACAAACAAGCAAGCAAACATTTCAGACACACACAGAGAAAAAAATAATCTATTCATCGTCATCGCTATTTTTATTATCATTATTATTCCTATTTGTGCTATCATCAGAATCACCGTCGTCATCATCATCATCATCGTCATCATCGTCATCATCATCGTCATCATTATCATCATCGGATGAAGAGGCTATCCTATCTTTGTAGGCGTGAAATTCCTGAAAAATAATTATAAATAATAATGATGATGATGATGATAATGATGATGATGATAATAATAATGATGATGATGATGATAATAATGTTGTTGATGATGATGATGATGATAATAATAAT